TCCATCGAGGGGCCAAGGGGTATCTTCGTCTTCTGGGAGGTGCAGCCAGGGCGCCCCTGTGAAAAGGCCACGCACGCAGGAAGAACTTGAACTCGAGGAGGAGCTGGTCCCTGTGGAAGTGGCACATGCGGCTGCTACGGAGCAACATGAAATGTCTGAGGAGGAGGAGGAGGAGGAGGAGGAAATGGAGAACCCAGAAGAGGAGGAAGAAAATTTTGACGAGGAAGAAGAAGGGAGCGAGGAAGGAGCGGAAGAGGAAGAAGAGGAAGATCGAGAAGAGGAGGGAGACGAGGAAGAGGAGGAAGATCCAGAAGAGGAGGAAGACGAACAGAGAACCCAGAATACTCAGAACACTATCGATGTTCTGGCTAAGGTCAAGCAGTCCATGGAGTACTTCGCTTGCATGTGGACGATCACGTTGGTCGCCACGCATGTCGAGCTGTTTCTTCAGACCTCAGAGAAAGAAAAGTACGAGTCGTTTGGAGAGGTTATTCACTTCGCGTCGGCGAAGAACAGCATTGAGGACATCACACTCGTTTGGCTGGTGGTGGGGACGAAAATGGTGCAGTCTGTTCTCAGGCATGCGAAGATGGTAGTGTGGGAGAAGAAACTCGATGCCCGGCAGAACAACGTTGTTAAAAAGGACTTCAGGGTACGTTTTCTAGCACCTCAATCTTCGACTTTGTGTTTATAGTTCTATAATCTCGTTCAAAAGTTTATAGTTCTATAATGTTGTTCAAGTGTTTATAGTTCTATAATCTCGTTCAAACGTTTATAGTTCTATAATGTTGTTCAAGTGTTTATAGTTCTATAATCTCGTTCAAACGTTTATAGTTCTATAATGTTGTTCAAGTGTTTAAAGTTCTAAAATGTCGTTCAAACGTTTATAGTTCTATAATGTGTTTAACCAATACTGTTCAAATGTTGTCATCACAATTCGCTGTGATCACATCTCACTCTGGTTGTTAGAAAAAATAGAGTTCTTTAATGCTCTTGCATGAGTTGTACCTTCCTTTTTACATCTTCAAAGTTCTAGAATGTGTTGAGTTAGTGTTGTAGGAATTCTGTGATCGCATTTCGATTTGGTGAAAGTATAGTTCTATAATCTCGCTGTGAGTCTAACTCGCTTTTGCAATGTTGTTCTCTTATCTCGTTGTGAGTCTAACTC